GAATTTTTTTTGGGGCCTTGTCTGATGTTTCAGAGTTTTTTTAACATACTTGTCTGTAATTTCATACTATTTTTAGTAGTGTAGGCTGTGCCTCAGACTTGTATCGGGGGTGCATTCTGAATCCGATAATACACGGGCAGGGTCCAGCCTGGCGGCATGGAGCAGTAACCCCGTCAATCACGGGCGGGAACCCACGATTTCGCCAGCGCGACAACGCACAGTTGCGTTGGTACAGCGTTGCTGTAATCCCACCCAATTATGACCAATCGCGGCTGCGCCGCAGGCAGTGTTGGCAAGATTCCTTGCCAACACATAGCTCGCCACGCACTGCACCTTCGTTGTACACCACGACCATCCACCACACCCCGCCTTCAATGTTGCCAGCGCATAGCTCGCAGCGCGCTGCCACTCTGACGTCACCACGTCCATCCACCCCACCCCACCTTCCCAGTTGCCAACGCAGGGCTCGCACCGCGCTGCTTCTCTCACGTGACTCCATCCATCAACCCCAATCACCCCACCTTCCAAGGATTCACGCCCAGGTGCAGTGCATGCAATGACCTTCTGGGAGATGGGAGGTCCTATTACACGAGGGTTTCTCATCTTCTTCTTGGTCACCGTTCTTGCAGTCTCTCTCATGGCCCGCTCCATTTGCCTGGACTCAAACTAGTGTAGGAGCCCTTGTTTCAGGCTCCCACCTCCTAGCTCGCTACACCTCTGCTCGGCAGGCTCAATGGCAGTTACAGAGGCTGTCGCGGATGGGCCCGACGACGAGGATGATGCAGTCGGTCGCCCAGTATCCGGCCCAGTATTCGACCCTCTCACCGGTCTAGATTTTCTTAGGTCTGTCCTACCGAAGCACAATCCACCTCCAACGCCACCGTCTCAACCTAGCTCGAGCCGCCCACCTATTCCCAGAGACACCACACCTCTGCACGAGGCCGTCACTGAACCAGCGACCGCTGCGCAACAGGCGGTGCCCCATGAGGTCCCATGATGTCGCTTGTCATGTTGTTTCGCGCAGATGAAGACGACGAGATACTACCTGGTATGGTTTTGTGTCACCCCGCCCCTTTCCCCCTTTGGCTATGGCTCGTTTACTAAACCCGTGTCTCGTTTTGCCTTGCAGGCATTGACAAGAAAAAAGCCGTGAGGGAGCTGCGCACACTGTGTCCGGTCCTTGCCAGAGCCCCCAAGAGCGAGCGCAAGTTCCACACGGGACTTTGTGCGATGCTCAGGACACCCGACTGGCAGCAGGCGTACCCCAACCTGGTCGGACTGTGGGTGGCGATTGCGGTGCTGCCTCTCAGCACGGTCGAGTGCGAGCGCGGTTTCTCCCGACAGAATCTCATCAAAACGTGGCAGAGGGGCAGCATTAAGGATTGTAGGCTGAGTGATCTGCTCTGTATTTCACTCCTAGACTATGAGCTAGATGTCCCAGGAGTAGTAGAGATATGGCGCAGCTTCAAGAAGCGCCGGCCGGTCACAGCACCTGCTGCAAGGCACAGAGAGGAGCCCTCGTGGGCTGGGAAGGAGCCTGTAGACGAGGCAGTAGTAGAACGTGAACCTGTATTAGACTATCAAGAAGAAATGTAAGAAGAAAGATTAGTGTTTTCATTATAACAGGAAAATTGACTGACTCTGTATGTTCAGCGTAGAAATGCAAGTGTAGTCTGAAATCTCAGACTTAAAAAATCAGGTCAGTCTGACAGCCAGACTAGGAAGAGCGGTGTACTCTGAAGCCTCAGACTACCTCAAAACGAATCTAGGGGCTTGCTTTCTGCGTGGTTTCCTTGGGCCCAGGATTCGAGTGCAGCCCAAGGGTGAGATTTAGGGGTGACACTAATGTGTTTGGGTAATATTTTGGTGGATTAGTATTTCCCTGGTATCTCAGTGTAATCTTTCTACTTCAGGAACATCTTTTCTACATTTTTTTTTACCGTGAGGTAATTGATATGTACACCGACAGAGCAAGTTGTCAGAATCTAGCAGCAGGAATGATTGAACTATGAGAGTATGAGGTACAAATATGAAACCCTAATGTGGGTTGTACCCCATATTGGCTACCCCACTAAAGCCTAAGCATATGTAGCATATATATCATTTGAGACACCCCCATAGGCAAAGTGGGGGAGAGCAAAGGGTCACAAGACCGGTCAAGAGAAGTAAAGCAAGCTTAGGGTGGATCACAACGTCACCACACACACTGAGCACAAGCAAAGGGCCACAAGGCCAGTTCACATGCAGAGGTATATATGCAACAACAACAGCACAGTGATCTCTACCTAGCAGAGCAAGCAAGCAGGTATGTATATATAGATCACAGTACAAACAAAGTCTACAGCAAGTGAGGAAAAGTGGGCACAAGGCCTAACAAAGTGCAGAAACGCTGATGATCACCAGACGAAACTGTGGCTAGCAGACGCGTGACAGTAGAGTGAGCAGCACGGGTGCGGTCAGACTCAGGCTCAGGAACGGTAGGCAGAGAAGACGAGGAGGGGATGGCAGGGGGACACGCTGCGGAGGAGAGGAAGGACGACGAACTACGAGGTGGGTGATGGGGACAGTCGGCTGACGCGAACGAGGAACACGACGACCGGAACTACTAGAACGGACAGGCGAGACAGGACGCGACGCAGGCTCACCACGCTTAGTAAAACCCCTTGTCTGCTCGGTGTAAGGAGAAGGAGCAGGCAGTGGTGAGCCAGGCTGTAACGGAAGTCCAGTAGACGAAGGGAGACTAAGAACTTTGCGAAGCACAGAGTCAGGCGGTGGATGAGACGACGGAGACGGTGGAGCGAAGAACAGGCGCGGCTGTGCAGTGCCACCAGCACCAGCAGCTCCAGCACCCCCAGCAGCTCCAGCACCTCCAGCAGCTCCAGAACCCTCAGCGCTAGCTCCTCCAGGACCAGCTCCACCAGCAGCAGCACCCCCAGAACCAGCACCTCCAGACCCAGGGTCTCCAGCCTCAGTGTCTCCAGCAGCAGCACCCCCAGACCCTGGGTCTCCAGCAGCAGAACCCTCAGGCTCAGCAGCACCTCCAGCCCCAGCAGCTCCAGTACCTCTAGTACGAGCACCTCCGGGACCAGCACCACTCCCAGCTCCGGCGACGACAGTAGAAACACCTCCAGCGGTAGAGCCCCGAGCTCAAGAAACGCGACCCTGACGGCGACCGTACCAGTCGTGCAGCTGCTGTGAGGTGAGAGGCACACGCGGACGAAGGCGGCTACTCCAAGGAGACCGCGCAACAGCAGGCTCAGAACTCTCAGCGCCAACACCCGCAGTAGGTCCAGAACTTCCAGCGCCAGCACCCGCAGCAGCTCCAGAACCTCCAGCGCCAGCACCCGCAGCAGCTCGAGAACCTTTAGCGCCAGCACCCGCAGCAGCTCCAAAACCTCCAGCGCCAGCACCCGTAGCAGCTCCAGAACCTCCAGCTCCAGCACCCTTAGCAGCGCCAGACTCCGCACCCCCAGGCTCCGCACCTCAGGCTCAGCACCCCCAGGCTCCGCGACCCCAGGCTCAGCACCCCCAGGCTGCGCACTCCCAGAAACAGCACCCCGAGCAGGACCACCCTCATCAGGACCTGAGTCACCAGTGACCTCAACCGGCACAGTCAAGGGAGGAGGGTCTACCTGAGACACACCTAAAGGAGCAGGACCGGGAGTGGGGAGAGGGTCTACCTGGGGAGCACTTGGAGCGAGGAAGAGCGGCGGGGAGGGGAGAGGGGCAGTGCGGTAGGGGAAGAGACGGTAAAAGGGAACCGACTCATCAATCGTGACGTCCTGAGAGGGGAACACACGGCGCGAGGTGGGGTGGTAAAACTGCCAACCAGGCGCGTCAGGGACAAAGCCAAGGAAGACACAGGGAACAGCGCTGGCGGAGAGCTTGTCCGCGGTGGTATCGCGGACAAAGGCACGAGCACCCCAGACCCAGAAACGCGACGCATCGCCAACCTTCCCCGTCCACAATAGTGTGGGCGAGGTCTCCAGCAAGGAGACATGGGGCCAGAGGTT